TACTCTGTAGAGACTGAGGTGGGAGGACTGCTTGAGCCCAGGAGATTGAGGCTGCAGTGAGCTGTGACTGTACTATTGCACTCCAGCCTAGGTGACAGAATGAGACCCTATCTCAAAAAAAACAAACCAAAACCTAAAATCATTAGTTGGCTATACAGAAATCATGTTAAGCCACGCCCACTGATAATCCCATTATGATCTGGCATTTTACATATTTGGATTTCATACTCACCTAAACCTTTCTGCCCTGGGTTCTTAGCGAAAGTGAAAGTAAACTGATAAAAATCTTTAAATTTGGCTGTGTCCTTCAGCTCCTGCTCTTAGTCTTGCAGAAGAGCCTTTAGCTTCTCCATGCTGTCACACCTGCAATGACAGAGACAGTGGCTCAGCCAAGCGCAGGACACCTCCCCTAGTCAACTCCTCCTCTTGTCTCGTGCAGGAACTGTGGCCAGCACCGGTCCAGCTGAGACCGTATTTCCCAACTTCTTTTCCCCAGGCGCGCCTGGGGCTCTAAATGATCATGTAAGAGAAGGGAAAGGGGGCAATGTCTCCCTTGCTAAAAGGAATTCAATACTAAGACGGATACTGGTGGTGGCTGCCTGTGTCTGGAATATACTAAACCAATGAGTTGTAGACTTTAAATGGGAGAAAATATGGTATGTGAATTAGATCTCGATAAAAATTATTAAAAAGAAAAACTCCAAAAGCAAAAACATCTTTGCCCTCTTCCTGAGAACTGGAACAAGGGCGTGGTCTAACTCGGTGGCTCTGACCATGGAGAGAGGCCCTGCTCTGCCGTGACAGGTTATAAAGTGACAAGATGGCAGAGACGAGGGAATGGAAAGACGGAAAGAGCCTACTGTAGTGACTTGCAGAATGGAGTCACCCTGCCAGCCTGGGCCACTGCTACCTCTGTCCCATCATACAAGCGAAAAATAAACTCACATAAATCTTAAGCTACCTTATTTAGGATCTCTTCATTACAGCAGGTTAGATTTAAATATCCAGGTATTGTAAAATATATTTCATATTACTTTAAAATTGATTTTTTCCATCAAAAAGTCAATAACCTTTAAAAACAGTCAACAGCCTTTAAGGCAGAACACAACAGTAAACAAAGTCTATCTTTCTAATTTCGACTGCACAGCAAAGCACAGAATAAAAGTAACACTTATCCACTTACCCAAGCAGAGCAGAGTAAGGAAAGAACACTGAGAAAGCTTAAAGCAGCTAGAAAAGTCCATAAAGACGTACACAGAAAAGCACAGATGTAGGACTCAGTCCTGTGCGTAGTCACAGTCCCCGTCTCTGGTCAACAGCAGGAGGTGGATGTGACAGTGGTCCCATAAAATCATAATGGCACCTAGAGGTTCCTGCCACCTCAAGGCCAGAGCACTGCAATGTCTAGCACAATGCATGACAATTTCTACCTTAGGTGTTTAGATACACAGACTTACCATTGTGTTACAGCTGCCTACAGTACTGAGTACAGTCACCCGCTGAACAGGTTCGTAGTCAGGAACAACAGGCTGTACCACAGACTAGGTGTGTAGTGGGCTGTACCATCTCGGTTTGTGTAAGTACACTCTGTGATGTCTGCACAATGAAATTTCCTAACAATGCACTTCTCAGAGCGTGTCCCTGTCTCTTAGTGATGCAGTACTGCAGGTGAATGTGAGGGAAGCACCATCCACATCATGGTGGCGGCTGGGCCAGGTGCAGCAGTTCGTTCCTGTAATCCCAGCTTTGAGAGGTGGAGGAGGGGGAGGATCAGCCAGGCCTGGAGTTTGAGACCAGCCTGGACGACATAGCTCAGAGACCCACTCTCCAAAAAAAATAAAAACTAGCTAGGCATGGTGGCATGTGCCCGAAGTCCCAGCAACCCACTGTACCCCAGTTGGCACAACAGAGTGTGACGCTCTTGAAAAAGGGGAGGGTGGCAGCTGAGGGCTCTTTGCCATTTCAGCCTCCTCTTCCCTCCAGTGAGGCACGGACAATCCGACTTCTGGGCCAGGCCCACTGTGCCCCACCACCTACCGGAGCGGTCCTTTAGCGTGCCTCTAGCTGGATCGCAAACAGGAACTCACAGTGTGCACCACCTCACATCTGGGTGCTCTTGGCTTTGTGACGTCCGAGGTTCTTTCCTGTGGGTGCTCCACCTGTTCATTCTCTTTGCCACATAGAATTCTTGTTATATACATATTGTATGATTCATAAACGCTACTGTTGGTGAACATTCCGGCTGTTTCTAGTTTCCTGGTTTGGAGTAATGGTGTCAACACTTCTGTACACAGATCGCAACATACCACGAGGCACATTCCAGAGTGGCCGGCAAGCCACAGCGTCTGGCGCACCTTCCATTTAGTAACTGACGTCGAACAGTACCTTTGAGCTCCGCTTCCACGAGATTTTCACTCACATCTGCTATCGTGTCTTGTTTTAGCCCCCCAGAGGGTGGTTTGTTATGGGGTTCTATTTCACTGAGGTTTTCACCTGCATTTCCCCAGTGAATGAGATTAAGCATCTTATACGTTTAACTGGCCTCAGCATCCTCTTTTGTAAAGTGCTTGTCAAATCTTTCGCTTGTATTTCAAACATCTTTTTTTCTCTTATTGTTTTGTAGAAATTCTCATATTAAAGATACAAGCCTTTGCCAGGTATTTTTAAAGAACTTTCACACAGAATAAGGATTGCCTTTCTACTACCTTGATGCTTCTTAACCAGAAGTTCTTATTTTTACTATAATACGCTCTGTCAGTAATTTTCTTTACAGTGATTTATTGTTTTTGTTGATGTTTTAGAAATTATCCTATTTCACAGTCATAAAGACCTTTTCCTATATTATTTTCACAGACTTTTTGCTTTTTTGCCTTTCATACTGAGATCTAAGACTATCTGAAACTGATGTTTACATATGGTATGTGTGTAGAGGTCAGGATTTATATCTCCCCAAAATACTAGCTAATTCTCCCAGTATCATTTGTTGAAACAATGTCTGTCTCCACTTAAGTCTAGTTTGTCATAAACCAGAAGTCCCTACATACACGGACTTCTTTCTGAACCCTCCATTCTGCTCCACTGGTCTCTGGTCTATTTATCTGATCTGGCACTTGATGCCATGTAGTCTTCATTATCGTAGCTGTAAAGCTCTACTATCTGCGCAGAGCAAATCTTCCATCCTGTTCTTTTTCTTCAAGAACTGCTTTTGACTGCGCATTTTTATAGAAATTTTTAAATCAGCTTGTCAAATTACACATATATAAACCCACTATCTATTAGGATTTTCAAACTGAGATCACATTCAATATAAAAACCTAAGGATAAAATACTGTGTTCCAACCCAGGCTGAAAACAAACAGGCTATCCAGGTCTTCTTTCCTGTCTCTCAATGAGTTATTATTTTCTCTATGGGAGTATCACACATCTTTAATCCGATTTATTCTAGGTATTCTGTATTTTTGAAGATACTGAAAAATGACATATATTTTAAAATTTACTGTTTTGGTTGATTGTTGCACTTGGTGTCCTGAAATATAACAGGATTTTATTTGCAGACTTTGGACGCTGTAGTGTGGTTAACGTCACTACTGATTCGAATATTTTATCCACAGATTAGACTAGCTGTGATCTCCTGTTTTATACTGGAATAGAAACAGTCATTCAGGCTTTGTTCCGTCTCAAAGGGGAGGTGGCTTACAATTCCCGTAAGTATGTTTGCCATAGGAATTTTTTCCTTTTGGTCAGATTAAGAACTACCCCTCTTATTCTTAGTTTCCATGAGTTTTTTTTTTTTAAATGAAGAAACACTGAATTTGATCAAACCCATCTTATGCACTGGGATGATCCTTTTTTTTCTGTTAACCATGGTAAATTAATTATACCAATTGACTTTGTAACATTAAATGGATCTTGCATTCCTGGATATAACCAACTTTATCATGATGTATCATCCTGGGCTGATTTGTCTGATTTTTGCTAATGACTGGTCAGTTTCCTGATACTGTGTGTAGGATTTTTGCATCTTATCATCTTAGGCATCTTCTGATTCTTATAACTGAGAGTGGCTTCATAATTTTCCATTCTCAAATGTTATTCCTTGGTTTTGTCATGCAGCTTGTGCTGGCCTTAAAACAAATGGCGAAATCTTTTCCTTTATTATTCTTCAGGAAAAGGATAAAATTGGGGATTTTCCTTTCATTAGAGTTTGGTCGGATGCCAATTAATATCCTAAACGGGAGCTGTCTCTTTGAGACGATTTTAAATTACAGGCTCAAATTCTTAAGAGTTACAGAACTATTAAGATTTTCCATTTCTTCATATGTCAGTTTTAGTAAGTTATATTTTTCACATAGGTTGTCCAATTTACTGGCATAAAGCTCTTCATAACAGACTTTTTTTTTTTAATGCTTCTGGCACCTATCATCTTGTCCCTCTTTTCATCTATGTATGTTACTTATGATTTACTACATTTACAAGTCTTTTCAAATAACAAGCTTCTGGCTTTATTGATCCTTCCTAATGACAACTTCTTTTCTATTTGATTATTCTTGTAAATTAGAAGTAAATTTTCTAATTTACTTGTAAATTAGAATACTGCTTCAAAAATATTAATTCCTTCCTTCTATATTCTTTTTCTGTTTCTTGAGATGGAAGGCTTTGTTCACTGATTTTCAGCCTTTCCTTCTTTCTAAAATATGCATTTAATAAGCTGAATTCTACAAGCTTACATATATTTTCACTATCCAAGATATTTTCTAATTTCCATTGTAACTTCTTTGTCATCCCAAGGGTTACTCAGAGGTATGCAATATCCACACACAGCCTACCCAGTTATCTTTTTGTTATATTCCTAGTTTAACTGTACTGTGGTCAGAAGACATACTCTGTATCATTTCAAACCTCTGAAAATTGTTGCAATTTACTTAATAGCCCAGTTTATTGTCACCTTATTAATGTTCTGTGCCTTTAATAAAGTTTTTTTTTTTTTTAATTTTAAACACCAGGAGAGAATACGAACATAATCCCCCATACTACCACAAATTATGCAGTCCAGTTTCCTACATTTGGGAAAATCACAGGCGCTAGCAATATCTGAATGCAATGGATAAGCCCAGCCCCGGGAAAACCACCTTCATGATCGTGGTGTCTCTCCTGCCAGGCTGTTTTGTATCTTTGAAAAGAATATGTATTCTTCAACATCGACAACGTTTCTAAATGTTCTCCTAGGCCATTTTTTTGTGCTGTCCAAATCTTCTATTTCTCAATTAATTTTTCATCTACTCATCCTATCAGTTACTACGATGTGTGTGAAAACTCCTCACTTTGATCATGGATTTGCATCTTTTTCTTTGTAGTTGCTTATTTTTGCTTTAAATACTTTGGGACTCACAATAAATACATAAAAACATAAGTGTGACTGCTTTCCTGGTGAGATAAACCCTTTATCATCATGAAATGGTCCTCCTTATCTGCAGAGTTCCCGTGCTCAAAGTTGTTTTAGTTGTATCTATTTTAAACAATATGAACAGGTGATATTTAAACATTCATCTGGGCCAGGCATGGTGGCTCCCGCCTATAATCCTAGCACTTTGGGAGGCTGAGGCAAGGTGGATCGCCTGAAGTCGGGAGTTCAAGACCAGCCGGGCCAACATGGTGAAACCCCGTCTCTACTAAAAATACAAAAATTAGCTGGGCGTGGTGGCAGGCGCCTGTAATCCCAGCTACTCAGGAAGACTGAGGCAAGAGAATCTGCCTGAACCCAAGAGATGGAGTTTGCTGTGAGTCGAGATCGCCACTGCACCCAGCCATAGGGTGACAGAATGAGACTCCATCTCAAAAAACAAACAAACAAGTAAGAGACACTCAAAAATAACAATAAAAGTAGAGTAAATGCATAAACTGGCAAAATTAACATAATCATTTATATTATCAAGTATTATATACTGCACATAACTGGATGTGCTATGGTTTTATACGAATGGCAGTGCAGCAGGTTTGTCTGTGCTGTGCATCACCACACACAGGCAATGTATTGAGCTATGACATTATACGGCTGGGATGCAGGAATTTTTAGGCCCCATTCTGTCCCTTTTACGGGACCACTGTTGCATAAGTGGTCCACTGTTGACCGAAATGTCACTATGCAGTGCATGACTGTCATTCAATAAGTTTAACAGGATTAGGAGACAGTTACATTAGGCTCCTTCATTTACTTTCATAACTTATCTGATAAGTGAGAAACACCTGCTTAATGAAGCTCTTTGTCCCAATCCTGTAGGTAGAACAGAAAATGTTACAAAAGCAAAACTGAAAATGACATGTTAATTTTTACATAGCAGCATAATAAATTCTACATTTAATATACAGTATTATGAAATAACATGAATGAACTGAACCTGGTATTTACTGTCAATTCAAAATTGGAAAGAAAAAAACTCAAGAAGAAGAAAATGAGTTACAAAAGGGGTTAATATGAAAAATCAAATGTGAAATGAAATAAAGCTTTAAACTGAAAATTAAAAGGAAACCAAAGGCTTAATAGTGCAGAGTGCAGATGCATAAGAAATTTTTAAGACACACAAAGAAAATAAACATATGAAATTAATATGTAGAGGTTGCTGAAAAATAATTGTTAAAGTATTTTCATTTCTTAGTACCTTAAGCTAAGAATAATTGACTTACCCGAGTTCTGTCATGCCATCTAGAAATTCCTTTCTGCTAAATTCACACTGAGTTATGCCCTGAACTTCCACGCTATGACCAACACACCTGATACTGGCAGGATCTAGGCTCAGATCATCACAAACTGTTGAATCCTAATGACCCACTCTTGTTTTCATCTGTGGATCTGTAGTTAACATCAGGTAAAAGGAAGTTATACTATTTTGAAAAGTAATTCTAGAATACGAGGTTTGAATCCTAGCATTCTATTACACTACATAGTTCTAGCAAGCGTGTTTCCTACTACATCAATCAATAGGCTGCAGTTTTCTACTACACATGAAAGAAACAGTGAGCAACTGAATAATTTATCCAGAAACAGTCCTATTTTTAAAATCTAGGTTTGGTTTTAGGAAAAAAATCATTGAATTTTTTTTGAGAAGATCTGTTCACTAAGAAAAATTTAATTACCCTAAAGTGAAATAAACTAAGTTTAGAGAAATTAAGTTTCCACGCAAAGGCAACTGCTATAAAAGATACTGTACTGATAAAGTATTTACAGTACCTTGGGTTTTTATCACAACTCTGCCAAAGTAAATGAATGATTGATGTTTTTTTCATAGTGATTTACTGCTAGTTCTAATGGTACTGGACAATAACTATTTTTCAGAATCATTTAGCTTATGTATCCACATTTAATAGCTTAAAAATTCATGTTCCCCACTCCCTATTCCTAGTTTATAAATAAAATTAAAGAACTTAGCATTTGTTTATCAGAAAATCAAACAGTATAATATATTTAAGGCATCCCAGCAAGACTTCACAAAAAGCTGGTAATTTGTGATAGATTATATCATATTGTCGTAATGCATATGTAAATTGTTGGTTTAGAAGGTAAAAATAGAAAACCTGTAGGTTCTTTGCTCAAAGAAAGATTAGGTATCATAAACTTTTCTTCCCCTTCACACAAAATCTCAGTCTGGTCATGTAAGTAGTTTATTACCACATATATACAGTTAACAAAGAAAAACGGTAACAGAAATGAAGAAAACCATAAACATCCTTCTAACTCTATTCTCATATCAGGGAGAAAACTCAGATAGTTTATGGGACAGAGGTTCTGCAAAAAAACAATCCCCACTTATCACCTTATTCACCCCATCTGCTAATATTATACTTCAAGAATAGAAATACTGATCTGCAATGCTCTGACTTTATATAAACCATTTGCACTTGATTACAACCATGTTCAATATTTCAAGTAATTTTGCAAGTACACTTGTTCATTTGTGTATGTTAACGTAATAACCAATGTTATATTTGTCAACAGTCTTAGAACTATGTTTATTTTTAGAGCCTAAAGTGATTGTACCATGTTTCCTGTTCTTTAACTGACTATAACTGTAATGAAGGAAAGCAACAATAATTAGCGTGATGAAGCTTCAATAACACCTTAAGACACAATTTTCCACTTATACACAAGTATTTTTTCAAAAGCAGCTGCATATATTAATAACTTTAAGAAAATCTGCATAAAAGCAGTATATATGACTACAAAATTAGCTCAAAATAACTTAATTTTAGCCAAAAATGTTTGAAGTAGACTAATGCTTAACTAAAAATAATGCCATTTCTTACAAAAAGCAACAAGTACAAATCTGGTTTGTTCTTACTCACTGACTTGTTTCTTAGCCAAGATTTTTAAAAGCAATTTTCAACTCACTTTTCAGATCTAATCAGAAAGACTAAAGCACACACACAGTATTTTAAAAAGTAAAAAATGAAAATAATAAATAAACAAGAACTTGGCCGGGCGTGGTGGCTTATGCCTGTAATTCCAGCACTTTGGGAGGCCAAGGCGGGTGGATCATGAGGTTAAGAGATCGAGACCATCCTGGCCAACATGGTGAAACCCCATCTCTACTAAAAATACAAAAAATTGGCTGGGCGTGGTGGCGGGCACCTGTAGTCCCAGCTACTTGGGAGGCTGAGGCAGAATCGCTTGAATGTGGAGGCGGAGGATGCAGAGAGCCGAGATCATACCACTGCACTCCAGCCTGGCGACAGAGCGAGACGAAGCGCCACACACATACACACACACCAATAAACAGACAAACAAACAAACAAGAACTTAAAGCCAAGGAAATTGTTGTATATTTGGGCTAATACTTGTTTAAATGAGAGTCAGGCTTTGCTTTGTTTAAAGTTTTAGAAAACTTAGCCTTAAAACTGGTAGAAAGAAAAGCAAAATAAGTCAGCTCTTAGGTGCTGCCTCCTCTGCACTGAAGATGAAATTTAAAATCCGCAGAGGGGCGTGGATCTGCATAGGCTCATCACGGTAGTCTTAGTGCAAGGTACAGCTACTTGACGAGAAAAGTTCTTAATCACACCATGTCAAATAAAAATCACAACTGTTTCACAATCTGAAACACAAGGTTTCTTTGCTGAGAGCTTTTCCAAAGCCTCTTGAACCACTGGCTACTTTCAGTGCTGACATGCCACTGCTCCGGGCAAGTGTGCGAAAGTACCAAGGTTTACCTCACTTCCAGGATCATCTTCATGATTTGGGTGTTGTTCAACCTTCTCATCATCAATATTTCAGCCCAAACAGAAGTGCTTTGAAAATATCAAAGGAATGGTACATATTCATCAGCCAAGACACTTAAGTTCTCTGGCAGCAGCTGTTCTCGACAGGCTGTGCAGCGCCAGACTCACCAGACAGAACAAGCAGGCACAGGCCTGGTCCTGCTCCAGAGTATCGCCGACTCCCCTTCCTCGCCCTCCCCACCCCCACCAATCACAGTCCCAGCCCCACTGGAACGAAGAAACTGGATTCTGCAGCTGAACAGGGGAGGAGAAGCAACAGTAAGTCTGGAGATCTGCACCTGGCACCAGAAAGAACTGGAAGTGGCAGCGTGCAGGTCGCCATGGAGGCCGCCATCCGTCCAGCTTTGCTGCCTCACCTCTTACCTTGTAAATTGTTTCAGACAGCTGCTCCAGCTTTTCTTGTCCACAGTGTTCCCATGGGACTCTGTGAATGAAAGTCTGGGCTTTGGAAGAAGCTGTCCTGTGGGTTTGCCTGGGTTCCACCTTCATTCTGCGTTGGGCAGTAGAGATAGCAGTTCTCTGCCAGCCTGAGTGCATACATAAACTGGCGGACTCCTGTCCTTCTGAGACGATTTAAGCTATGCTTGGGATGCAAAAAGAAGTAGAGGTCCAATGAAGCCATTGTCTGTCCCAGCTCAGCCTAACGCCTGCACTTTAACTGGGCAGAATTAGAGACAAGCCTTGCTCAGCCATCAGTTAAAAAGATCAACGGTCTTCCAAACAACAGTACCTACACTGTAACAAACAGGCAGTCTAAGTCAGGAAAGTATGAGAATTAACATTTTATACAGAATACATCTGATCGCTACCCAGCTCCACTCTGCAGCATGAAGTGTGACTATCATTTTCTAAAGCTCAGAACCTGTAACGCACACCAGCCTCTGAGGACACCGGCAAGG